ACTCGAGTACAGCCATCAATACTATCCCTTACATTATTTCTATTACCTTAACATAAAGACGAGATGCCAGATTATTACAGGATTGAGTTCGTTGTTTTATATCACGCACTCTTCTTCACTGTATCATATGTGGCTACAGTGTCACACCTGGCTACTGTAAATGTTTGTTATTCTTATTCTGATTTTCTGTAGCGTGAAAATAAATAACCTAGAAGATTTATATGATTCGATTAAAATACATAGTGGAATGTGATCTGGGCTTTTTTCTTTTAATATCGAGAATGAATTAATTTTATGCAATGATTTCCTCTCTCTCTCTCTCTCTCTCTCTCTCTCTCTCTCTCTCTCCCTCTCCCTCTCTCTCTCTCTCTCTCTCTCACTTGGACATTAACTGCTGCACAATTCTCTCTGCCTCCTGCATGCGTCAGACTCCATAATACCATTTAGCACAGTTGCCTGAGATCTCCCAACTTTGATTCATTTGTTGGTGATTAATGACAACAGTTGCCATCTAAATCATTCGGGTGTAATTAAGTTAGTGAGGATGTGTGGGGTAATTGTGTTCTGGTCACAGGTGAACATTTCAAGGTGTGACAGGTAAGATTCCATTGAACAAAATCCCACAAAAGAAGATTAAAGGGGGAGAGAGAGAAAGAAGAAGAGAGAGAGAGAGAGAGAGGAGACACTCGTAATCTCGCTAAATCCTCTGACTGTGTTTTTTTTTTCCTTTTATCTCTTTCACTCACTAATTGTTCTCTCATCTTACATAAAGCCGGAAAGTTCTCATAATTAAGCAAGATTAATCACTCCGTATTGTGTCGTGGGTCCTAAGCTTGCGTAGAGGAGCGTTACGGTAGGCAGGATATGAGAGAGAGAGAGAGAGAGAGAGAGAGAGAGAGAGAGAGAGAGAGAGAGAGAGAGAGAGAGAGAGAGAGAGAGTTTAGACAGGTAGACAGAAAGGTATAGACAGACAGACAGGTAAGTTAGATTCATTCAGTGAAGTCGTAATAAAAGTTGACATTAATTATAAATAGGAAATAAAGGTATACAAACAATGGCAAACAGTTAATCCACACGAGCAAGGTTCACTTAATAAAACCATTCTAAGCTTATAACCAATAGGAGTTATTTTAGCGAGCCCCTCACAGCTTAGAGCCCCTCACAACTTAGTTACACGAGAGGTGTTTAGTCTTCAATACAGTTATTTACATTATTAAATATCATTTCATTGAACTTATCATCCACTTTCATCCACTTCTACCCCGAGATATGATGATGATGTTACCGTGACGAGGTGGATGACGAGGTGGATGGCGAGGTGCTTCAAGCTGGCCACGTCTGGTTAACCATTGTCATGTCATCTAGCAGCCATCATCATATCATGCTCCTCATCCACGCCCTTCACCCACATGTCCAAAGGTGAGTCATCCATACTGATCACCTACAGTGCTATAGGGAAGGAGGGAAGGAGGGAAGGAGGGAAGGAGGGAAGGAGGGAAGGAGGACAGGGAGGGAGGAAGAGACGAAATGATAGAGGAAGGAAGAGGAAACAATGAATGAAGAGAGAGGAATGAGGAGGAAAGGGTGAAGGAAGGAAGGAAGGAAGGAAGGAAGGAAGGAAGGAAGGAAGGAAGGAACGGCTAGATAAGGGTCACACTGCCTCACTTCACACCTTCCCTATGAATAAATCCCATATATTAAAATTTCATACATTATCAACACAAACCCTCAACGCTTCTGTGAAAAGTCGGATTCGTTTCACCATTGCAGTATAAAGTTCCAAAGTTTCCATTAAGGGATAACAATAAGAAGTTTCAGGAAAGTTCAAGTGAGAGTCTTAGCCAAGGTAGGTGTGTGTGCGTGTGTGTGCGTGTGTGCGCGTGTGTGTGTGTGTGGTGAAGAGGACGAGCTGTATGGTTGAAATGTTTTGGTCAGATTTTAAGGAGCAATTCGTCATATTTCTTTCACCCCTCCTCTCCCTCCTCAACAGACCTCAGGTCTAAGCCTTCATTACCCAGAGTGTTTCTGTGCCAGTATTTTTTGTCCGTGTGTTTTCATGTCAAGTTTTCTGCGATTTTGTTTTGTTATTCTTTTTTAGGGGAGAAAGGTTGTTTGTTTGTTTTGTTTGTTATTGTCTATTGTTTTTGTCGAGACTTTTTCTTTATGTCATAGCTGAAACAACAGCTTTCATGCAACTTCCTTACCTCCCCTTCCCTCCCTCCTTCCCCTACACCCCTTCCCTCCCCTTTCCCCACCCCTCCCCTTCCCTCCCTCCCTCCTCCTTACCTTTCTACATCCTTCCCTCCTTCCTTCCCTCCCCTACATCCTTCCCTTCCTCCTTCCCTCCTCTACATCCCTTCCTTCCTCAACTATTCATCCTTTCCTTCCTCCATTCCCTTTCAGCTAATCCCTCCTCCCTCCCTCCTCCCCTTCCCCCTAACCCCTCCTTCCCCTCAACCCCCTCCTTTCCTTTCCTACCTCCCCTCCCTCCCCTTTTTCCCACCACAACCTCTTCCCTTACCCCTGACCCTGGCAAAGAGAAAAAAGAAATAGTCCAATAAAGTAGGGGCGAAGAGAATGCAAGTTCTCCTAAATTGAGAGAGAGAGGCTACTCATCAAATTAGCCCTAAGCTGTAGTATATTAAGCCACGTGAGGACATCATCATAAGGTCAGAACGTCGTTGAGAGCGTCGCCTGTGGCATTAAAGAGCCCGTTAACGACACCCCCACCCTGATGAAGGTGCTGAAGGAGGCCCAGTGGGAGGGAAGATGACGCGGAGAGAGGGAAAGACGGGGAGACACGGGGAGAGGGAGATGGCGGGGTGAGAGGGAGGTAGAGAGAGAAGGAAGATGACGGGGTGAGGGAAGGGAGAGACGGGAAGAGGGAAGATAGCGGGAATCGAGAGGGAGGGAGGGATGATGACGGGAAGGGAGGGAGGGAGTGAGGGAGGTAGGGAGTCAGGGCGAGGGGATGGAGGGAGGGAGGAAATATGGTTAGAGAAGCATGAAATATGAAGAAGAATAAGGAATTGAAGAAGAAAGGATACGGAGGGAGAAGACGAGAAAAGGAGAGGGAAGAGAAGAAAAAAGAATGAAGAATATGTGAAGAGGAAAGAGGGATAAAGGGATTTAAGAAAGGAAAGAGAAGAAGAAGAAGAAGAAGGATTGAGAAAATACGGATAGGAGAGAGAAGAGAAGAAGAATAAAGATGGTAGAGACGAGAAGAAGATGAGGGGAGAAAGAAGAGAATAATGAAAAAAAAGAAGAGAGAAAAGACGAAGAAGAAGAATAGAGAGAATAAAAATGATGGACAGGAGAGAGAGAAGGAAAGGAGGAAGAGGAGGAGGTGGGGGAGAATGGGAACAGGAGAGAAGAGAGAAAGGTGGAGAGAGATATTAGGAGGATGAAAGGAATAAGGAAGAGAAATATAAGGGAAGAAAGAGGACTAATGGAGAGAATAAAGATGGTAGAGAGAAGAGAAGGAGGAGGAGGAGGAAGAAGAGGAGAGGGGAGAAGGAAGAAGAGGAAGAGGAGGAAGAAGAGGAAGAGGAGGAAGCAGGGTGGTAGAAGGAAGGAAGAGGAAGGAAGGAAGGAAAGAAAAGAGGAGGAGGAAGACGGGGAGGAGGGAAGGAGGAGGGAGGGAGGAGGAGGAGGAAGAAGAGGAGGGACGTAAAGGGGAAGAAGAAGAGGCGGAGGAGAGGAGAAGGAAGAAGATAAGGAGTAGGAGGAAAGTGAGAAGGAAGAAAGAAGGAGAAAGAGGAGGAGGGAGGAGGGAGGGGAGGAGGAGGAGGAGGAGGAGGAGGAGGTGGAAGAGGAAGAGAGTGAAGCCAGCATCTCACAATAATGACCCGGTATATCCTCTGTCAGTGAAAATCTTCCTTCACATTTTTAACCAAACTTCGTCTTCTTCTTCTTCTTCTTCTTCCTCCTCCTATTCTTCTTTTTCTTCTTCTTCTTCCTTCCCCCGTCCTCCTATTCTTCTTCTTCTTCCTCCTCCTCCCCTCCCCCTATTCTTCTTCTTTTAAACTATTTCGTAACTTTAGTTTGGAATTTTACTCCCAAAAATCTTAACGGAAAAAAAAATTAGTATCTCTCTCTCTCTCTCTCTCTCTCTTTCAGTATATTAAGTGAGAAGAATATCCACACCAGAAGCTGTTATTTAGTATAATGTATAGATGGCGCCACACGTCAATAAACAAAAGCTTACGCCACAAGTCATTAACGGGATCAGAGACTTATACACGTGAAGATTGTGGGATCAGAATACATTTACCCAAGTTATGCTGATGCTCAATTTATTGTTTGGGTCTTGTTATTATTCCTCTTTATCTAATCCTCAGTCATATCTTAGAGGTTTACTGAGTTTATGATACAATTTATATCATTTATAAATTCGTGGGTTAGATGGCTGAGTGGATGTTATGGGTTAGTAGTTTTTTTGTTTTGTTTCTGCTTGTAGGTTCGAATTCCTCTTAACCTGTGTGTGTGTGTGTGATGACAATAAGTGCGTTGATATCCTGGGTCGTCTTGTATATTATAACAGCAGGTGAAGAAATGTGAGGTTATCTTATCAGCAACGAGATTGATAAGACTCATTACATTTTGAAGGATGCGATAATGCTTCATCTTCACAGCCAAGACCTGCAAAAATACTAATAGATCCTGAAGAGGTAAACCGAGTATTTGGTTTCAGAACTTTTTGACTCTGAACATCCTGAAACTTCGCTCTTCCTGCCACCATCGTCCTGTGTGAATTTATGCCATCACGAGGCGTTGATGTAAACTGACTCACACTGTACTCTTTCATAATTGTTTGCTGAAGATCCTCGACTCACTCCCTGTACTCCTCCTCAGTAGTTTCCTTGCCTGTTAGGTGACGTTTGTTGCATTGAAACCGAGACAGTCCATTACATACTGGTCCTTTGTTTCAGTTCATCGTCAGTAGACACCCTGACGACGTGTAGCTTTAAGTAGGGAGTGTAAATGCCCTTAACTCTGACCTTTCAGCTTCATTCATGAGGACACTGCCAGGGTGATGGGAATGAGGAGGCAGATTAGGGATGATCGTGAAAGGCTCGGGAAGGTTGGTCGAGGTTTCCCCCTTCAACACTTCACGCAGATGATGACGTATCTGTTCTGTTCTCCCCGGACATATAGTCGACCTGACGACATTTTTGTGGGGACGACTCTTGTCCGCCAGACTGTCACCCTGCAGCTGTGTACAAACGTCCTGGAGTAATAGGAATCTGTTTGACATTTGGTTCAACGCGTCTGACGTGAAGCTGGTCCAACCAACAGGTCAAACAGATCCTTGAGGAAGTGATGGAGCAATGATTGCTCTCGTTCTCCCAAGTCACGCATCATCGGACAGCCGCTGGATCACACACCTTACTACTCAAGGGTCGGCAGAAGCGCTCATCTGGGGACTTGGATATCGACCCGTCATTTTTAGCAATTACACAGAGAATTCGTCCCCAACAAGCCAGTGGACCCTTCAACAGGCGGTCGTGTGGGTTGAATAGCGAGCCAGTTTTGATGAGCCAGGTGCAAGTGATCATCATGCCAGGTGCAAGTGATCATCATGCCAGGTGCAAGGGATCATCATGCCAAGAGCAAGTGATCATCATGCCAGGAGCAAGTGATCATCATGCCAGGTGCAAGTGATCATCATGCAAAAGAGCAAGTGTGTACCGGGGCAGTAGAGTCATATTGCCGGATGCAAGTGATCTGTCATGCCGGGGAGCAAGTGATCTCATCATGCCAGGTGCAGTGATGTCATGCAATTCACCGATGATCGTCATGCCAGAACAAGTGATGTCATGCGATTGCAAAGTGATCATCATGCCGGGTGCAGTGATCATCATGCCAGGTACAAGTGATCATCATGCCAGGAGCAAGTGATCATCATGCCAGGAGCAAGTGATCATCATGCAGGAGCAAGTGATCATCATGCCAGGAGCAAGTGATCATCATGCTGATTATCATGCCAGGTGCAAGTGATCATCATGCCAGGTGCAAGGGATCATCATGCCAAGAGCAAGTGATCATCATGCCAGGAGCAAGTGATCATCATGCCAGGTGCAAGTGATCATCATGCCAGGTGCAAGTGATCATCATGCCAGGAGCAAGTGATCATCATGCCAGGAGCAAGTGATCATCATGCCAGGTGCAAGTGATCATCATGCCAGGTGCAAGTGATCATCATGCCAGGTGCAAGTGATCATCATGCCAGGAACAAGTGATCATCATGCTGACGAAAACAGAAGATTCTTAAGTCATACAAGAGGGTGGTCGGGGTGAGGCCTGACATCCCACTGATAACAGGCCCCTCAGAAACCAGTGCCACGGTCAACCTGGCCTGTGACATCACTGGCACACGTTGGCTCTCACCAAAGAAAAATTACTGAGTGGGTCAGGAAGGTTGGAAAAATAGGTCACCTGATCAAGATGAGGTAATATATGAGCAAGTTGGAAGCAAATACAAAATAATAGAGATTTTATTTTTGTGTGTGTTGTGTTCGATCATTACATATACACATACATTAAACTAATGAGTCAAATAGATATGAGAGGTCGCACACTTTTAACATCCAAACGATCCAATTTATTAATGAAATAGATCAACACACACACACACATGTTTAGTGTTTACATGGACAAAAATAACCACACACCAATTATAACCCAACACAGCAGGTGGTAGGAACACAGCTGAGTATTACCATAAATCAGACTAATTAGTGATTAAGTGATATTTTCTACGTCACTGTTAAGTAGGTATAATGACTCGGCTCCCTGGTTCTGTTTATATCATCCTCAGGTAAATATTATAATTCTCTATCAGTGTACCTGTGTCAGTGTGTCAGTGTGTCAGGGTGTCAGTATGAACCTGTGTAAAGAACATCACGATAAGAGGTCATGTCTGGGTGTTAGGTTAGGTTAGGTTACTTGGGAAGGAGGGAGGAGATGACGGGAAGAGAGGACAACAGTGGAGAATGAGAATAAAAAAATACGGATTGAAATTTAAGGATAGAAAGGGGGAGAAGGGGAATAGGTATGGAGGAAAGAGAGGAAAAGAAAGGGAGGGATATGAGAGAGAGAGAGAGAGAGGGGGAGATGAAAGGAGAAGGGGTTCGCGATAAGATTAATTTCATGGATGCCAGACTGGGCCTACGTGAAGGGTTTACAGCAGGGTGATGGAGGGAAGGAAGATGGAATTAGGAAGAAAACAGAGATAAAAAGATGGAGGATAGAACAAAAAAATTAATGATGGAGGGAAGATTTATAAATGTAGAATGATGGAAGGGGAAAGGGATAAAACGATAAATGAAAGAGAGATTGATATACGTAAGGAATAAGGAGATGGAGTAATGAATGAGGCAGTGGAGTATGAACCAAGAGATTTTGTTGATTTGAGGAGTCGACCATCTACACCCGACAGCGATGTGTGAGGCATTGGTACTGTTCTTAAGCTACACCCGACAGCGATGTGTGAGGCATTGGTACTGTTCTTAAGCTACACCCGACAGCGATGTGTGAGGCATTGGTACTGTTCTTAAGCTACACCCGACAGCGTTGTGTGAGGCATTGGTACTGTTCTTAAACTACACCGACAGCGTTGTGTGAGGCATTGGTACTACTTGTTCTAAGCTACACCCGACAGCGATGTGAGGCATTGGTACTGTTCTTAAGCTTCACCCGACAGCGATGTGTGAGGCATTGGTACTGTTCTTAAACTACACCCGACAGCGTTGTGTGAGGCATTGGTACTGTTCTAAACTACACCCGACAGCGTGTGAGGCATTGGTACTGTTCTTAAGCTTCACCCGACAGCGATGTGTGAGGCATTGGTACTGTTCTTAAGCTACACCGACAGCGTTGTGTGAGGCGTGGTACTGTTCGCTACACCGACGGCGTTGTGTGAGGCATTGGTGTTCTTAAACTACACCCGACAGCGTTGTGTGAGGCATTGGTACTGTTCTTAACTACACACCGACAGCGTTGTGTGAGGCATTGGTATTGTTCTTAAGCTACACCCGACAGCGTTGTGTGAGGCATTGGTACTGTTCTTAAGCTACACCAGACAGCGTTGTGTGAGGCGGGGAAGATGGCACAGATGGCGTGACATGTTATTATGAATTATGATCTGGTAAATTAACTTTCGGAGATGAATGAGACGAAGACCAGGAGGAGGAGGAGCCGCCGCTGGAGGTGTTCCTAATGAAGTGTTATAATGGCACACACACACACACACACACACACACACACACACAAGCTTCCTTTCTTTGTTGTTGTTTTAAATCATTACCTTGAACTCAAGTGTTTATGAGGTATAATTTTGTGTTTCCATTTATAATTAATATTTAATCATCTATTTATTTAATTATTTACCTATTAAACGTAAATTTACACGAGCTTTACGGAGTCTGGGATGAAGTGTGGCCGAAATATATAGGGTAGAGAGGTGTGTGTGTGTGTGTGTGTGTGTGTGTGTGTGTGTGTGTGTGTCCCGTCTAGGCTGCTGGGGCGTAAGAGAAGCGTTACACAAGCCTCAAGAGATACGGAGCTTAAACGACTTAACTGAGGGATTTTATTTCTTGGTGACTTGCTCCTCCACGCACCTTATCCTTCCCACCTCACCACGTCCACCACCATCCTTCCCACGCCTTAAGTCCCACCTCACCACGCCCACCACCATCCTTCCCACGCCTTTAGTCTCACCTCACCACGCCCACCATCATCCTTCCACGCCTTAAGTCCCACCTCACCACGCCCACCACCATCCTTCCACGCCTTAAGTCCCACCTCACCGCCCACCACCACCCTTCTCCGCCTTGGTCCCACCTCTCATCATCCTTCCCGCCTTTAGTCCCACCTCCACCACGCCCACCATCATCCTTCCCGCCTTTAGTCCCACCTCACCACGCCCACCATCATCCTTCCCACGCCTTTAGTCCCCACCTCACGCCCACCACCATCCTTCCACGCCTTTAGTCCCACCTCACCACGCCCACCATCATCCCAGCCCACGCCTTTGGTCCACCTCACCCCGCCCACCATCATCCTTCCCACGCCTTTAGTCCCACCTCACCACGCCCACCATCATCCTTCCCACGCCTTTAGTCCCACCTCCACCACCCACCATCATCCTTCCCGCCTTTAGTCCCACCTCCACGCCCACCATCATCCTTCCCACGCCTTTAGTCCCACCTCACGCCCCAGCTGATACACAAGACAATTCGATATGTTTTAATCTTCTTAGGTGTCGGGTCACTCAGTGTCTCCAGCTCAGTCTGTTGATGAAGAATTAGTTTATCTCTTTGTTAAGTTGTTATGACATGTCTTGTGTGTGTGTGTGTGTGTGTGTGTGTGTGTGTGTGTGTGTGTGTGTGTGTGTGTGTGTGTGTGTGCGTGTGTGTGTGTGTGTGCGTGACGCTTCACCTAGCGCCCAAGGAACCAACTATCTGCTTCCTGGTTCTCACAGAGGCGGGGGAGCGTGTCAGGATCCCCTACAAGTGGCGGAAAGGAAGCTCTCGCGAGGAAGCTGCTGACAACACCAGTTTATCTTTTTTTTTTAATCTTCCTTCTGGAGCGAATCTTATTTATTGGTGTCATGTAATCCTAATCCTTAAACGCCTCACCTAACCTAACCTTACTTAACTTAACCTCACCTAACCACGAAGGTTGGGTTCCATTAAGAAAATAAGGTGAGGTGAGTTTATGTGGTCGTCTATGGCCAGTCACGAGTTTTAAGAAGATGAAATACCTCGAAGTTATTTCAGGTGATTATCCCTAATTAGTGTGTGTGTGTGTGTGTGTGTGTGTGTGTGTGTGTGTGTGTGTGTGACAATATATATAGATACATATTTAAATAATTTCCTCATATCCGTCATCATATTTCTATTATACGAAATTTTGTCATGGCATTTTACATATGGTAATAATCAAAATATTTGTTTGAACAAAACTGTTATTGTCAAATTGAACATGGCGTTGTCAGCACCGTAGCATTCTGGCCCATGTAATAATAAATGACTCATTGGCAACACAACAAATGGCCTTTCGATATTAAAAAGATAAATTTGGCCCACAACATTGCCATTTATTTAAAAGGCATTTGGCGCTCTATGAAAACTCCTGTAATGATGCGTTTCAGCTGTATTTACGATAATGTTAGTACAAATTGGAATGTATGTTATACATTAAATGCTCACACATACAAACAAATGCAGAGGAAAGCCAACATAAAGAAGCACAAACACACATTATATATATATATATATATATATATATATATATATATATATATATATATATATATATATATATATATATATATATATATATATATATATATATATACACAGGTTTGTGGTATGGTATATACCTGAACACGTCTCATCCAGTATTCATGTAAGCACTACAAACAACTGTTACTGAACTAAGTAAACAATGCACTTGGTAATGTTGTTGTCACAGTCCACAGTCACAGCCTAACACCCCGGGACCCTCCTCACTCCCGCCCACTGTTAATCCTCCAATTATTCTTAACATTTTATTACACACAAAAGTTTTATAACTCTGTTTATCTCTCTTATATAAAAGTGAACTATGTAACACCGTTAACACACACACTAAAAAAAAAATGTGTCTAGATAAACATTTGGAAGTTTTAGTATCATGAACAAATAAGGAAAACGTATGAAAACTGTGGACGGGCAAGACAGTTGTGGCCTCAAGCAGTACAATAAAAACTGGACCCCTCCCCGAGAAGTCATTAGCGAGAGATACAACCCAGGAGCGGCGAGCTAATTCCCCGCCCCCAGAGACCAGTGTGTGGCAGGGCACCTCTCCCGCCACGCCCACCTCTCCCATGGGAGTCTTGATGTAGGTGTGAATAAGTATGGGGCGGCCCTTAACAGGTGTTGAAGGAGCCATGGGGCGGCCCTTGACAGGTGTTGAAGGAGCCATGGGGCGGCCCTTGACAGGAGTTGAAGGAGCCATGGGGCGGCCCTTGACAGGTGTTGAAGGAGCCATGGGGCGGCCCTTGGCAGGTGTTGAAGGAGCCATGGGGCGGCCCTTGACAGGAGTTGAAGGAGCCATGGGGCGGCCCTTGACAGGTGTTGAAGGAGCCATGGGGCGGCCCTTGGCAGGTGTTGAAGGAGCCATGGGGCGGCCCTTGACAGGTGGTGTAGAAGGAGCCATGGGGCGGCCCTTGACAGGTGGTGTAGAAGGAGCCATACAGGGCGGCCTTGACAGTGTGTTGGAGGCCATGGGGCGGCCCTTGGCAGGTGTTGAAGGAGCCATGGGGCGGCCTTGACCAGGTGGTGGTGTAGAAGGGCCATGGGGCGGCCTTGACGGAGTGTTGGAAGGGCCATGGGGCGGCGACTGAAGTTGAAGGAGCCATGGGGCGGCCTTTGACAGTTGAAGGAGCCATGGGGCGGCTTGGCAGAGTGTTGAAGGAGCCATGGTGCGGCCCTTGACAGAAGGTGTGGGAGAGTCATGGGGCGGCCCTTGACAGGTGGTGTAGAAGGAGTCATGGGGCGGCCCTTGACAGGTGGCAGGTAACACAGGAGGAGGTGGACCACACACACACACACACACACACACACACACACACACACACACACACACACACACACACACACACACACACACACACACACACACACACACACACACACACACACACACACACACACACACACACACACACACACACACACACACACACACACACACACACACACACACACACACACACACACACACACACACACACACACAGTCGTTTCCTCAAGGGCATATTAGTAAAGTTTATGGGTTTGTTTTTAAACGGCTTCTCTTGCTTAATGGACCCTAATGACTTGAGTGTCGTGGTCCATTAATTCCCTCCATTATCTCCATTTGCTCTCCTCTTATTAAACCAATGATAATAAAGGTATGAAAATAAAGCGCTTACTGCCATTACCTTCCTCTCTAATCACGTAACTTCTTTCCTCCAACAACGTAAAACCACGAGTCATTATTTCACTCCATTCAAAACAATCAAATTCTTCATTAATTTTATTGTTCATTCATAATAACAAAAATATTCTCACTGAAAACATTAATCTTTTATATATATATTTTTTTTTCAATCAGATTATTTTTGTGAATTGGAATTTTCCTCGTAACTTTTGTCACGTTATGTTAGAGGACAAGATATGACAAATATTTCTACTGTAGGTTCAGGATGTCAGCACAGGGTAGATGAAGAAAGCTGACACTACATGAACGCTGACAGCAAATGAAGGAAGCTGACACTACATGGATGATGACAGTAGATAAAGGAAGCTGACACTACATGGATGATGACAGTAGATAAAGGAAGCTGACACTACATGGATGATGACAGTAGATAAAGGAAGCTGACACTACATGGATGATGACGGTAGATAAAGGAAGTTGACACTACATGAACGCTGACAGCAAATGAAGGAAGCTGACACTACATGGATGATGACAGTAGATAAAGGAAGCTGACACTACATGGATGATGACAGTAGATAAAGGAAGCTGACACTACATGGATGATGACAGTAGATAAAGGAAGCTGACACTACATGGATGATGACGGTAGATAAAGGAAGTTGACACTACATGAACGCTGACAGCAAATGAAGGAAGCTGACACTACATGGACGCTGACAGATACTATATAAGCAACAACAAACATACGACATAGCCACACTATACCGACGATAAAAACACAATAACAGACGATAATAAACAAAACAATTAAACAATAAGAAATACAAGACGTCGATAATACCCAAAATTACGTAACAAAACAAGTGATAAAGTTACTACTCAAACGTATTTACATAACCAATTTTCTTACTTAAAAAAATATGTGAAATATAAACTCTAATAGGGGGGAGGGGGGAGGGGATACTAGACTAAATGAATATATGAATAAATTACCAAAAAATTTAATTAAGCCATCTTCATTTGGATATAAACAAGAGAGATAATATTTTCAGTAACTATTTTGCGTTAGGTTTTGGCTGTTAAGGTTGAAGCAATACTGTGATTCACGGACGCAGAGCAGCACAGACATGTAAATGAGGTGACAATCATACAGACAGACATGAGTGGTGATAAACATACAGGCATGAGGTTGACGATATATACATCTCTTTGGTTAGGGGAGAGATGCTGGGGGGAGGGGATTAAGGAGGGGGTAGGGAGGGAGAAGAGGGATAGGAAGGGAGGTGATGGATAGGAAGAGATGAGGGGAGGGGGAGAGAATAGGGAAGGGAGATGGAGGAAAGGGAGGAAGAAGGAGGGAAGGGGAAGTGTAAGGGAGGAGAGAGGTGGAGGAGGGGATAGGGAGGTAGAAAGGGAAGAGGGGAGGGGTATAGGGATAGGGGGAAGAGAGGAGAAGAGAGGAGGGGGAGAAGGGAGGGGGAGAGAGGGGAGGGGGGAGGAGGGGGAGAAATGTATAAAGCTGGTTGAAAGACTTTGACTAAATGATTCTGTCTTGATAATTGTAATGTCTCTTCAAAGAAAATTTTATTCACCACTTTAAGAAAACAGATTATTTTTATGTTGATCCGTCAGTGAATATGGATGTGTGTGTGTGTGTGTGTAAGCATGAATGTATGGTCTGATTATAGCTGTATACTTTTGCATATACATAATTGATAGGCCAGGTCTGTCTGTCTATAGAAAGATGCAATTTAGGCGTTTCTATAAACCCTCTTTTAGTATAAGATTGGAAAACAGGAATCTTATAAGCACTCCCGTCAACGCCAGCTGAGGTTATGGCCAGCAGCTGTTCAACCAATCAATATTGACGAGGAAACTGGCGAAGGTTTTCCACTGGTAGAAGAGACTGTATGTTTAGAAAGGCGTTCGTGTAATGTGGAGTTAATCCGTTCGTAGCTTATGTTGATCAATAGTCGGATAGCTGAAAATATGGCTCGATGCACACATACAGGTTGAATACACACACTTTCACACAGTCTCTCTCTCCCCCCGTTCCAATGAAACAAAAAAGAACCATATCCCCCCCCAAAAAAATAATAATAATAAATAAAAAAATAACCACATCCAAGGTTGTCTGAGAACAAAAGTTGGTTCATCTATCACACTAATGTCACCATAATGTCGCCTGCCAGAGTTCACTGTCTCTTGCCTCAGCTGCGCCTATCTTAAAGAGTTGGTTTGAGGAGATTCACTTTTGGCATGATACTAGTTTTTTGAGTGTGTGTGTGTGTGTGTGTCCCCATTACCATTGTCCCCACTGCTAGTATACCTACCTCACCTTCCTCCCCTTTAACACCCCCACCTCCTACAGTAAGCTGAATATCAACACCTGAAACAACCTTCCCCCCCCCTCCTCCTCCTCCTCCCACAAGCGAACCTGTAGAAGAGAAGCCAGGGTTAAGCCAGCCTGCACCTCATACTACCCCGTCCAAGGCTTAATGTTACGAACTAACCTAATGTTTAAAAAAAAAAAAGGTAATTATTCCAGCTAATTACTGCATTAGTTACTATAATTACCGTGTAGACTGTGGGATAAACTGTAGGCCCGTAAGAGCTCTGAGGAAGATGGTTATTTAAGTCTGTGTAAGATTCTGTTGGTACTGTATTCTCATCATTGGTCTACGTTATCTCCTTCTCTCCCTTCTCTCCTCTATTTCCCCTTTCCTGTCTCTCTCCCTCCCTACTGCCCCTCTCTCGTATTATCTCTTTTCCTTCCCTTCCCCTCCTACGTACCCTATTCCCTCTCATTCATACGTCTCCCTTCTCTATATCTCCTCCCCTCCCATCCATTCCTCTCCTGCTTCTTGCCTATATATCTACCCCTACTGCCGCCGCCCCTCCCTTCCTCTCCCTTCCTTCTCCCTCCTGTTCCATCACCTCACCACCTCCACATCTCTCTGTCTCACTCCTGTGTTGTTGTTTTTTTTACCTTTTCTTCATACTTTTCACTTCGTTTTCTTCATCTCCTTCCGTAATTTTCTACTCATCCTACTCTTATCCTCACTCCCACCGCGTCCCTCTCAACTCTCCCTCTCACCCTCCTCACATCACCTCTAACCCTCTCCCCACTACCACCACCTTTCTACCCCTTCATCTCTCTCCTCCTCACCTTCCCAACTCCCCACTGCCATCATATCACTTGATCACCCAACCGCTCTTTCACTTCAGTCTCCCCTTCATTCATCACCCACCATTCTCCGTTTATAAGTGTGTGTGTGTGTGTGTGTGTGTGTGTGTGTGGTGTTACTTGAAGTTTCTCGTTCTCGTTTCTTCAGTCAGTCAGTCAGGCAGGCAGTCAGTCAGGCAGGCAGGCAGGCAGGCATCTTACGTATTCTGGTTCGTCACTTCCACAACGATAACTTTATATAACCAGGTTGACCCCTTGGTGTGTCCCCAGTCCCTCAAGACCTAACTGAGTTGGGTATCAGACACACATTCATGACAACCTTCACATATTTTATTGAATCCCTCTATTTATTTTCATGACTACTATTACTATCATCATCATCACCACCATCATCATCACCAACATCACCCCCACCACCATCATTACCTCATCTCCACCGCAGTTTCTCACCCTCCCTCAAATGTAGTCTGCCACCTACCACAAACCTCTACTTACAGAGACATCGAAATGGTTCTCATACTCTCTCTCTCTCATTTCTTGTCTCTTCCTCATTCTCAGTCCTTCTCTCATTGTCTTTCTCTCATTGCTTTTTTATTTCTCTCTCTCTCTCTCTCTCTCTCTCTCTCTCTCTCTCTCTCTTTCTCTTTTTTCTATATCTGACTTTCTTTTTCTCTATCTGTCTGCCTGTCTGTCTCACTCTATGGGACAACAATACCCACCGTTCTCCCCTTCCTCTTAACATTCCCGTGGGGGGAGGCAACGTCACCACGCCTGTTGAATTCCATACACGCAGCAAGTTACTTCACACCTCCAATAAAAAATCACTCAGCTATAGACAAAATACTATTGTTCGCCATAAAATACTCTCTCTCTCTCTCTCTTTCTTTCTTTGTCAATGTTTCTCTCTCTCTCTCTCTCTCTCTCTCTCTCTCTCTCTCTCTCTTCCTCCTTTCTTTCTTTCCTCTCTACCTTCTTATATATTCTTCTTCTCTTTTATCTCTAAGTCTCCCGCCGTTTTAATCAACTTTTCCTCCTCTGGGAACATTTCTTTCAATACGGATTTATTTTAATTTATTTATTTTTTTACCCTTTTTACCTTTTTTTGGCGTCGTGTTGTTTAGACTTTATCGGGATGTTTCTTTATTTGGGAGAGACTTCATTATCTCTCTTTGTTTATCTCTCTGTTCTCTCCTCTCTTTCTGTCTCACGTCTACTCATCTTTTTTCCTTCTCTCTGTTTTTATGTTTTTCTCCACCACCTTCTCCTCTTTCTCATCTCTCTTCCACCTTACCCTGGCTCCCATTTTTCT